CAACTCAGCTTCGTAGCCTCCGACGCCACCGGACGGTCCAGCCATGTAACCGCCCCTCTCTCCCGTCTACCCTCGTGTAACTCCACTGTGTAACTCCACTGTGTAACTCCACCGTGTAACTCCACCGTGTAAATGTCTGTATTCCAGAGAGAACGTCGCACGGTTGGTGTGAGGTATTTGATGGAACTGGAATCAGAGTCTTGTAAGCTTGTGCGATCGTGTGTCCGTAGCGTCGCCACTCGTGTCATCACACTGTCATCACACACCCACACAGTCGTTGCTCAAAATGTGTTGTTTAGACCTGCCGGTGAACGGTGTGGGCATCTTACCATTCAACGCGACGGAGGGGCTGGCCAGTGGACTGCCCGAGTCCTCGCAGCGCGTGCACCCGTCTAGGTTGCAGTGTCGTGCGTCTTTGGGCCTGTCGGCATCGGCGACGCGTTTATTGGGGGTTGAGGACATCGACCCGCACGGCTTTTACTCGATGGGCAGTAGCCAGGCATTGGGGAGTTCGATGGTCCTGGGTTCGAATGGTGCGCATACGGCGGCGGGCACCAACCCAATGGGCTCTAATCCAGCAGTGTTGAGTGGCAACGTATCGGGGAGCGCTTCGGGCAACGTTTCGGGGGGTGCTCATCCCCTCGTCGGGGGATCGCACCCGATATTAAGTGCGTGGAGCCAGAGTCATCGCGAGAGTTGCGTGGACGTGTCGAGCACGCGAACGGCCTTGGTTGCGGGCAGTCTGACGCGCAAAGGAGACCCACGGCGGCCATTGTCTTCGGAACAGATTACGGTCAAGTCGAACACGAACGACTTCCACTGGCTCTTGGCGGCGGTGGACCCAAACCTGGGTCTGCCATCGTTCGTCCGTGAGTCTCTGGCGAATGTGCAGAACCCCCAAAGTGTGTGTCTGCGCGCCAAGTGGAACTTTCTACAGGCGATGGCGCCGCTGCGCGTACAAGGTACATTTTCGTCATCGGGCGCGGCGCCTTTGCAATCAAGCATCCAGCGACGCATGAAGGTTTTGGATCCGCGAGAGTCCTGGCAGAAACTGACGCCTTATGTGGACGCAGTATGTCTGGACACACTTGGCTCGGCCGTGGTTAAGTACAAGGCATCCGCGTGTGAGGCGATTGGACTACCGCCTGAGTCGGTTGTGGATCTGTCTTCGTTGACTGAAGACGGTTTGCATATCCCCCTCCAGTACCTCGTCGAGGTCCCGCTGGACGGCAATGACGCTCCCTACCAGCTCTTCCTCGCCGTCACCGCTGGCGATCGGAAACTGATCGCCTTCACGCTGGCCATGGACATCCGCTGTCGTGTTGTCGTGAATGCCGCACTCCTTCTCGGTCGCAATGTAATCCAGTCATTACTCTCTTGCGTATCTACAACCTTCCACCCCTCCACAATCCATAAGGATCGCGCGTGCGAAGTGAACAGCAATATCCTTTCCATGCACGTGAGCAAAACCCACCACAGAAAGGACACCTCCGTGCGCCTCGTGCTCCATCTCGGCGTATCCGTCGACAACACCGAAGAAGAACAAGTCCTGATCACCTCCTTCGCTGTCTCCTCGCCTACCGAACCAGATCTTCATGGTCAATACCCTTGCACGCTAGTGTTCGATAAATCCAGCCTCGACATCTACCTTGATTACTGCCGGCCCTATCTTTTGGGCATACCCAGCAAGAACCTCTTTGACGGACAAGGCACGCTCGAAGCCGGACTTCCGGGCAACATACGAGACGACACCAACGGCCAAACGGATACGCTGCCCATGTGCATTCTCGACCTCCCGACCATGGAAGAGTGTCCGAATCATAATCACGACGTTAAGAACGACGAACATGAACTGAATGCCAGCTTAATCAACTCCTGTGTCCGGTACTTCTCGGACTCCGCCTGGAACAGTTTTGACCTCCTAGCCAGCTTCCCTGTTCTCGAAGAACCCGGAGTAAACCAACCTGATCCGGTTCCTCGACAAAGCACCTTGCTGCACTACATCGTAGAAGACGAACCACGACGAGACCCAGAGGACACGGCGGACCAAGGCAAATATGCCGGATCCTTTTTGCCATTCAAGGTACCCCTGCCGATGGACACTCCATCCTTGGTAGCCGGTGTGTACGCTTTAAGCTTCAGTCCACGGACACATGAGCCGGTACTGGTGCCGTACTTTCTAGCACGTATTCCGATCTGGAAACGTGACGCGATTAACAAGGCTTCAAACGAGGTGGAGGAAGGTGGCAAAACGCCGGTTAGTGTACGTTCGATGAGCAGTATTCCTTTTGTGATGGACATGGAATTGTCCAGTCGCACATTGGCCATTTTGTGTTCCAATGCGGCTTTATATATTTTCGAGTATCGTTCGTCCTTCGCTTGTCGCGACCAGCACGATTTGCTGAGTAACGAGTTGGGTCGTTTGGCCGCAGGCCGTGGGCCAGCGGGTAATGGCTACATTCAGCCTCACTTGGCGGTGCAGGTTATCCATCTGGACGACTACATAACCAAGACGTGCCGTAGTGTGGCCGAGCACGTTCAGCTCAAGGCGGCGCGGTATCTGGCGACGCTCGCTCTTGGAGCCGCCAAGACGGAGGATCGAGTCGCGGAGGCGGACAAAAAGCGTGTGGTGACTCCCTGGCAGAAGGTGGCCAACTCTCTGCGCTTCGGCTCTCGCCACGGCTCCCGCACGGGTCCCGCTACGAGTGGCAGTTTGCGCGGTACGAGCGGGAGTGTGCGTGGGACCAGCGGGAGTGTGCGTGGGACCAAGTCGAACGCGTCGTTCGGTTCGAAAACTCTCTCTTCTACATCGCTGTCGCTGCCCGCGGGTCCGCAGCCGGGTAACCATGTGTTGGTCCGGGTCACGGGGGCAGACCTGAGTCGCTGGATGTGTGTGGACACGTACTGTTCGCCGAGGCAGCTGTTATCTTTCTACTCGCCGTGTCACTTTAGTATGAGTCGGTCGCCCGAGATTCTGCTGCTCAACTGGCCGGAGGTGCATGTCCTGCCAGCACCGCCGCTGCTGCACCGTTACCAGTCCCTGATCACGCCGGCGCGACCCAGTCTCAAGAACCCGACCACTGTTACCTGGTTGCCCGTACCATCCATGCGCCCCTTCGTGGTCACCTCTATGCCTGTGGCCGACGGCCTGCGTCCCGAGCAGGCTGCCAAGTGCAAGTCCGTACCCAACGTTGGCATGGACGGTTTCCGTCAGGGCACCGAATGCAGTGGTTTAATTTGGAAGGCAATTCCCTTACACACACTAGTCCATCATGCAGACATCTCCGACCACGCACTTCCGGAACGCCAACAATCCGGCCTACCGCCGCTGCTGCCCGCCCGCGGCCCTCCAGCTGCCGGCGGACCCAGATTTAGTGGTCTTGGTCTGAATGCACCTGAAAAGGAGACCGGTACTTCAGACAGATCTTTCGCACACATCTCGGCCCAGTCGCACTTCCACTGCGTCCAATGGGCAGGCGACAGTCCTCTCATTCCCAGCGGGGAACAGATCCGACTACCCGTGCTAGTCAGCTACTCAACTGGCGGCATATTGAACGAACAACTCGTACGCAAAGTCTACGTTGACGTACCCAGCGCTACATCCAAAGTCATCACACTTGAACACCGCAATGGGCCAGGACCGAAGCAAATACACCACCCGGATGTGCTCTGGATGTGGCTTCGTACCGGTCATGTGGCTCTCGTCCTTTGGGTCCTTCGCGGTCTTTATGAAATCTCCTGCTACCACTTCCAGTCGGAGACCGAAGATATGAGCACCTCTCTCCACCGCTACGGCACCCCTCAGGACGCCCAACTCATCAGCAAACTTCTAAGACTTCCCACCATGGAGGTCTTGATGGCCCGTAAAAAAGTCGCAGCTGACTTCAAACCCGCTGCGGCTGGCGGCGGTGGCGGTCGTGCCGCTGAACTATTTGAAAACGCCGCCTCGCTTTCCGATGACGATATCTTCGGCCATGACGACGACGAAAGCGACGATGATGCCGGTCACCTCCTGCTCGACGATCTCCTGCACGGCGCCGAGTACCCCCGCTCCGACTCCGGCGAAGTCGGAGCCGGGAATCGAACCGGCGACCTAGGGGGCCACCCGTCTACTTCCACCGGGCCCACCCGAGGAGGCCTCCCGGACAGCGGACTGGCGGGCTTGTCACCCGAGCTTACTGGCGAGTCTTCGATGATCGCGGACATGGTTGCAGAGGGAGGACGACCCTCGCCGCAACCGAGCGAGTCGGGTGCAGCCGAGGGCAGTCCGAAGACCCCGGGAGCGGCGAAGAGCAAGAGTCAGAAGGAGTTTATTTCGACGGCGGAGTTGGAAGAGCTACGTTATCGACTGAAGCACCTGCTGCGGCGCGCCCAACATCTGGATCAGGGCGGGGACCTGAAGGGCTGGCGGCTAATTTTAGACATCAGCGGCGTGGAGATGATCCGGCTGCTAGGATTGATCGACTTTGTGCTGGCGCGGAAGCTAGCCGAAAACGCGACTCTGTGCGGCCTCACCCCCGAGGCCTTTTCCACAGGGGCGGATACCGGATTCTACCCCGGGACTCGAGACGACGGATCAGACACCGGATTCGAGTCGGAGGCGGGGCTTATGGAGTTGGCCGAGCGTTCGTGGTTAGCGTTGCACGCGTCGGTGACAGGGCAAGAGATGGAGGCGGTATGCACGATGGACTTGTTAGCGTCAACATTGTTCCTGGTGGCGGTGAGTCGGTCAAGTTTCTCGATAGGAGATTGGGGCGAGGGCGAGGACCGGCAGAAGTTGACTGAGGACCTGAAGTTGCAGTTGGAGCCTCAGCGGTCGATGTCTACAGACGAGTTGTGTTTAGGTTTAATCGTACAGGATCAGCGTTTATTATTGCGAGAGGCGATAGTAATGCGGAACCGTGGGCGAGCATTAGATCCCGGACGACCGATGACTTGGGAAGATATGGCGTCGGTAGGGGCTGGTTACTGGCTGGCATCACCGGAGATTTTGCGAGAGGTATTGGACGCGCTGCCACGATCGCAATATTTGCACGAAATGAGTTTGGACCACGAGAGTGAGCGAGATCAGAGGGTGTTGGAGAAAGTGGCAGTGCTCTACTGTCTGGCTGGTAAGCATCTCACACTCGCTGGATTGTACCAAAAGGCCAAAAACCAGACCGTCAGTGAATTTTTACGGAATGATTTCGCTGAAGAGCGTTGGATGATCAGCGCACGGAAGAATGCTTGGCAATTAATCCTTAAAAAACGTTACGTGCTCGCCCTCGCCTTCTTCGTGCTAGGTCGTAGCGGCCAGGACGTTGTGGACATCTGTGTGCGTTATCTGCACGACTGTCAGCTTGCCAGCTTTCTCGCTCGATGCTACGATCTAAATATTCTACAAGATGCCAGTTACCCTACCGTCAACTATATGGTCAGGCAGAAACTGTTGCCGGCTGCAGATGAAAATCAGGATCTATCTCTGACCATGTTCTGCCGTTCTCTGCTCGAGTCGCCCTCTTCGCCCCAGCGTCTCCTTAGGAGTGGCGACGCGCGTATTATCGATCCCGAATCGGCCTTTGAGAATAAAGCAGCCACGGTAGCTCAACTCGTTCCCTCACAGCAACAACCCAGCTGGCATGGCTACGTCCTGGGCTCCGAGGTCTGTCTGCGACGGTTCAGCTCTTTCTCGGCCTGCCCAAATGTTCTTTCGTGTTTGCTCGCCTCGTTACCCAGTTATCCGCTCCGGGATATTCCGCTCCTACAAAGCACGCTGCGCTCTATCACTGAGGCACTCTCCCGACGCCACTTCATCTTCTCCGTCTTCCTCCTTGCGTTCTTGAACCGGAATTATGAGAAGTACATGAACCGCGTCCCCGACTACGTTCTGCAGGCGATGATCAGCCAGTGGTACGCCCTGCAGTGCAGCGAGGTCATCGGGCAGTACCGCTCCGAGAACCTCAGAGACATCTTAGGCAAGTGGCTCGACCTGCACCAGGTCCAAGACGCCGCTGCCGGTGACCGCAATCCATGGTTCAGCGAACCGCTGTTTTCACCCAAGCTGCTGCAGATGTTCCAGCTGCTGAAGGAAGAGGGTGTGCCCCTCACTCAAACCTACCCACTGGTCGGCTCCACGTGGAGTAAAATGTTCGGCTCCGCCCAGGAGTATTCCAAATTGCTGCTTTTGATCGAGACACTGCCCAAGGCCGTGGTCTTGACGATCTTGAAGCAATCAAGTCGGCGAACGAACGTCAAGGACACCTTGTCGCTCTCATCAATCGACAGTCCGCTATTACGTCGTCTCTTCCCACTGGCCGGAGACCCTCGGTCAGTTAACTACGCGGAGTTCCGCGAACACTACCACACCACTAACGTTTTGGGTTGTTCAGTGGATTCAATGTTGCAGATGCACGACGCGGAGAGTATCATTATTGGTACTGTAAATGTTTTATGTACGATTCTGTATGCGGTGCTGGACGACTTTACGCACGTCCGACAGTCGCAGCTAAGAGTGTTAGCTAGTGTCACGTTACAGTTGACGTTACTACACCTGATGCAGACCAAGTACTTGCACGAAGACGTGTTTCTCAACCCGACGAACGGCCAGGCGCTCTGGACCCTGGCCTATTGCATCATGCTCACGGTCTTGGGCGCCTCAATTGCCGCGTTCGAAACTCTGTTCGGCGTCCTGAACGGCTACTGTGTTACCGATGCCAGTGCCACCATAGAGGCCTGTGAAGACGGGTGGTTACTGCTCGGCGATGAGGCAAGCCAGCTCAAGGTATGTCGCGGCATCTCGCGTCTGCACACGCTCGCCGCTACCATCAAAGGGCGCGGCATCACACCAACTACAGCACGCGCGTGTGTCAGTGCCATGCTCCTTACCATTACCCAAGACATTTATTTCTGCACTCTCGACGATGACAGCCAGACGGGCGGCGTTGTGCACGAGGAAAGTGCCGAGTTCCGTAACAATATCCTCAAACAACTGCGCCATGTCGTGCTCCAATACGTGTGCTTGGGTAGCTGCGAGACGATACTTGAACACCTCCGTACCCTGAACACCTGGTCTTCCGAACTGCATCCCGAGCCCTTCGACCCCCTCATTCCACAGTACAACTCCATCAAGGGCGTGCTGGCGAAGTTCTGTGCTGGGACTTACCAAAAAGCTGTCCGCCGAAATCTCGAGTATATCCTCATCCAGCTCACTGCCGGCGAATTCAGGGCCCTGTCCCGAAGACTCTCGGGCTCCCCCGGCACCGCCTGGGTCGGTATCATCCTACGGTCGGACGTCCTCAAACTCTGCCAGCTCTGCGATCCGAGTCCAAAAATGAAGGAAGTCATTCGCAAAATCGAACTTACTTCCGAACTCGTTAATACCAATCTGAGCGCGTACGTCGTCACCTCACTCACACGTGAACAGAGCAGCACCGGCCACACCGAAGCCTCCTCCAATCAAGCCTCCGCCCTCACCACAGCCGGTGACCGCGCAGCCGACCGCACAGCCGACCGCACAGGCCCCTTCGGCACAAACGAGCGAACAGGAGAACTTTCGCAAGGCGGAAGCGAGAGTCTGACAATCACTACATTTGGCACGGGCGCCAAGGGTCACAACAACTTGTATGCGGTGAATATGTGTGCGATTCAATACCAGATTCCGTTGACGCGGAATTCAAATTCGCAGGTGCTGTGGCCGTACCTCGGAACGCCCGGGGCTCTCACATTACCGTTCCAGACGCGATCGTTCCTGCCCTTTATCGCAGTAGCGACAAATCGGGGGCTGCAAGTATTGAACTTGACGGGCATCGACTTCATGGACCCACTAGATCTACTGGCGTACAACGCGGACCTGCTGTCGCCGATGCTGGGAGTTATCGCACGCAGCAGTCTGAATGGCATGCACTCGGCCTGGTGGAGGACATACATACTTAACGCCTCAGAGCGGCAGCGCATGAAAATCATAAGTCGGGTTCAGGATACGCTGCCGGCGTCGCATGGCGGCGGCACCGTACCCGAGTTTGCGAATCCGGCTCTGGCGCAGATTACGGGTATTACGCCGCACCCCTGCGTGTCTGTGCTGGCAGGAATCATTGCCAAACCAGAGACAATCGAGGGCGGCGAGATGCACGCTGTCGTCAGCCTCTTTGGCGTCGCACCGTCGCGTAAGACAGGCGACTGCAGCTACCTGGGCTGTCTTTGTCTGCCCAGCGAAGACAACGTCTCCACCGTTCTCACCAATCGCCATACTCTCGACCGCTCCGAGCGTTCTCTCGCCGTAGAACGCTCCAACGGCACCACCAACAGCGAACGCATCTCGCCCAAGAGCTCGGGTGGCACCACAGCCGTCCCTGACCAGAAAGCCTCGGACCGGGGGCCTTCTGACCAGAAACCGTTGGACCGGGGGCCCATGGAATCGAACCCGCGGGTGTCGGATCCCCGTGTGTCGGATCCCCGAGTATCGGACCGGCGCGTGTCGGAGGGGAAGCATGTGGGCATGAAGCTGCCTGCACGGAGCAGTTTGAAGAACCCGAGTGCCCAGGCCGGTGCGGCCGCGAGCCTGGGCGCCGGGCCTCGCGCCTCGGGAGGGCTGATGTCCAGTGCAGGCCTCGGGTCGGCTTCGGGCACTGCTGGGGTTCGAACCGAGGGCTTGATGTTGCCAACAGCGTCCCGGCGGACGAGTGCGACGGCGTCTCAGTTCGTAACGCACCACGCGTCAGCGACGGTAAGCGCGGGAACGGCCGGTGACTTGTTGGCGCTGCGTTGGTCGCGCGAGGACCTGTGGGCGGCGAGCGAGAAGGGCTACGTGTTTGCGTGGAAGTTGTTCCACGACGCGGCGAACACGGTCCAGATTCGGAGCGGCGAGACGTTGGTGGTGGGTCGTGCATTGCCACTGTTGACACTACACGCACACACGAGTGCGCGTTTTGTGGAGCCGATCCCGGTGGAGCACGGCCGGTTATTGTTCGTGACGGGAGGCAAGGGTGTGGGTTCAGTGCAGCGCATCTACGCCCATCTGGCACGTGAGGAGGATTCCGCCATATCTTCGGTGACAGGTGCTGTACCGGCGGCGGCCAATCAGTTGCAGGTGGTGGGTAACAAGGTCCAGGCTCTGTCTGAGCACCAGGCTTCATCGCTGCCGGAGTTCGCGGCGGCGATGCGAGAGGCTGCAGGTGCGTTGCTGGTTTGGACTAATTTCATGTCCATCCCGGGCAGTGCCGTGCCCATGCTGCGACCTTCTGTGCTACTGGCGGACTTGGCATACTGCGCTAATGACCATCCTACTGGCGTCGTCTGGTGGCCGGCCGAACGTGCTGTGATCTATGGCACCGTCTCCGGCTGTCTACGCCTACTCAACTTCGACCGCCGTACTGTCACCTGCCTCAAAGGACGCGATACTCGCTGGCCTTGCCACCTATTCATTTGCCCACTCACCAACCGACTCATCGTCGTCTGGTGCGACTGCTCCATCACCGTCTACGACCTCACCCGTAAAAGACCTAACGACGCACTACTACTACTCCTAGAGAAAGAAGGCTGCAGTCCACCCGCTCCTCAAAGACACCACTGGCTACAACCGGCACACACCAAACTACAAGCCACACTCTCCAACGCAATTTATATTCCCCCCAACGCCGTACTCCTACTCAACACCGCCGGACAACTACTCCGCACCCGAATCTAAGGCAAGTGAAATCTGGTCACTGAATTTAATGAATTCAAAATCTAAAAAAAAACCTTCTTGACAAGGCGACATGACCGAACACTACCACGGAGTCGCCTGCGAGCACCAGGTAACGCAAATGCATCACCATTTTCATTCACCGTTGTAGGCAGACCTAACCGTGCTCTGGAGAATCGCCGGCAGCCTCTGCTGGTACAGCTTCGTCGTCACCGCCGTACTCATCGCAGCAGAGTCAGTTCGACGCCTCAGGCGCTCGACAACCCATGTTGCAAACCGTTGATGCCTGAAACGGTTGGTGTCTCAGCCTCAACACTCCTGGTTGGTGTCTCAGCCTCAACACTCCTCGATGGTCAGCAAAGTACTTGGTTGAGATGGTCGCCCAAAATCTTTACCACTCCCCGACCGGAACCTCCCTTGTTCCGAGCTTATCGCCGGTTTATCCCTGATCGAGTTTTCGCCGGTTTATCCCTGATCGACTTGCAACCACGCAGGGACAAACTGGAAACATCCAGCGACAGCTCTATTCAACGCCATCCACGAAAGGTAAAAATCTGTACGGGACGAGGTTTTGCAGTTCCAGGTCCGACGGATGGTATTGCAACTTGTCCAGGGTCGTCGGGCAATTCAGCTTCGAGGCAACGGAATAAAGTTGCTTGTACATCCGGAGTGTCTCCTCCTTGGACTCCTCGAAATCATCGATCAACAAAGAATCAACCAAAGACAATATAGCGTAAATGCCGTCATGTACAGTGGCATGGTCCGCATCCTCCGGTAACTGCGGAAATTGCCATAGTGTGGACCCCCGTGCACCCCCGTGAAGCTGTAAGTGGAGCTGCGTCTGGGGGTAAGGTATATATGTGTGCAATAGTACTTTTCGTATGAAGTTATCGTAAGATGTGAGAAGATCGAGAAGAATGTAGAGTAGAATGGTTTTCTCTACATATGCTTCTTCGGATGCATCTTCAAACAGCAGTCTGAACATATCCATAGTGAAACTTGCAGCTTGTTCTGCGGGGGTCGGACCCTTGTTCTTATCCTGGCCAGGAAATAACCGTAGTATATCAACATATTCGCAGCGTACAGAGTTCCGGCATACACTTTCCGCCAATTTAACTATTGCCGTCAAATTTGGTATCACCTGTGCTAATATGTCCATCTCATTCGGCTCTTGGAAACTGGTTAGAGCTTGTGCTATACCCGGAAGGATTTCGTGTTCTATGTGGTATAGCATTCTCAGGAATTCAAGACCCCCAACAAAGTCGTCCTGAAAAGTTGTGTTCCATGTATGAAAGACATTCTTCTCTATATCTGATATCATTTTATTAAGAATATCTTCGAGACCCGGCCGTAGTTCGTCGAAATCTAGTGTGGCGGCAAGATCGCCCAAATTGGATATGCTGTTAACCACATTGGGTAATTCTTTAGTGAAGAGGTTGCTCAAGTACTTCACTGAATTTGCCCCACCATTGTTCATATTCCTACCATATATTGTACCTGGTGATTGACTGGTACCCAGTGAAGACTTTGGCGCATTGGCGCCAGACTTGTGCGCATTCTGAATGGCGTGCAAAGTGGCGGTAATCGTCAGAGGAAATTGTTGCAGACTAGCCTCGAAGTTCCGCAAGAATAAACGTTGATTGAAGGCCACTGTCAGTCGAATCCAATCCTGACCACCCTTTGTATTCAGATCCGCATTTGTCTCTGGCGCGCCAGTCTCGCCTCCCGTCTTCGACTCGCCCTTCATACGGAGCGCATGTTGGGTCCGCAGACTCTTCCAGTCCACTATGATACAATCATCTTCATATGCTTTGGTTTCCTCTGTATCGCTCTCACTGGCGTCACAACCCGGGTCCATCAACGAATCATGTTTTTGGATAGTCACCATTGCTGCGATCAACGTGGATTGTATTAGAGAAATATCTTGTGCGCAATTACGTACCACAACATGCGACAGAAGCTTGGTAATAAGACTCTGGATCAATTCCCGGCGCAATGGAAGGTTCAAAATATCCTCCAACGTATTTCGGACACCTTCTGCGACAAACGGATTGTGTGTGCACACACTAATAAAATGACCTAATAAAGTCTCCAATAGCAATTGATCGAATCTACCGCCTATAGAAGGACATTCGGGCAGCGCTTGTAAGAGCTTTTTAATCGGACCGCAGTCGCGTTCAATCATTAGCACCAAATTGTCTCGAATTAACCCTTCGATTGTAGTCTTGAGCTCTTCCTCGGCTCGATGCACCTTGGGAAACCGCCAGAGTCCCAGAGTGGCGACGGCTCCCTTGTCGGTGTAGCAGTGGTGCCACCAGTTCAGCAAAGGAATTCCTTGAACGAATAAAGTGATAGCCGCTGTCGCCTCCCCCGCTGCGCATGTTTCCTTCACCCTATCGCGCATTTGTTCCAGAGCGTGGACATTCTTATCGAAGTCTTTCGCCGTTTGCAACAATTTCTCCGCTCTCTGCAACACAACCAAGGAATTCTCCAGCGAATTCAGTTTTGTTTTCAGCGAGTGGGCGCCACAGACGTCGTCGGATAGCTCGATTATTTGGCCTAAGGATGAGTCAATATCCTTGAGGACGGTCAAAGTCCTTGGGAATTTGGACAAGGCGAAATCCCTGCCCGCGATAAGTTCCTGTAGCTCATCAATGTGCACGTTAGCTATCCGCTGGATCTCCGAGCCGGTTTCTTCTAGCAAGACACCGACATCTTTGTTGCTTCCCAGGCGCTCATTTAAATGCTCGCACGACATAATTTAGTCCCCACGCCGGGTGGCAGCCCCCTGATGCGTGTTCCGTTTCTTTGCTCCCCCTCTGCTTTCCGCCCAGTCCCAGGTCTCTATCCCACCCCGAGCCCCGTGGCGTCGAGTCCTTCAACCCCTTGTCCCGCAAGAAAAGATGGGTGCAGAGATGGATGGAGACAATAGAGGTTTCGGGGGTAAAGAGGGTGGTGGTTAAGAAGTGGAGGCGAAAGTGGGCCAGGTATATTCTGAAGCATTCCAAGGTTCGACCACGTTCCATATATCTCGGCACTTCAGAACGCGGAATTCGTTGTTGGCTACAGACTGGCCGAGGACAAAGACCTTTTTCTCTTTCTTGGTTCTGGTCTTCTTTTCCTTGACTTCGAGTACAGGCGCTATTTTCTCCTTAGCGGCGGCGTCTTCGAGAGAGAGCCAGTCGTCGTCGTTAAGGACGTAGTTGTTTCTGTTCTTCTTGGCCAGAGGAAAGACTCGGGAGCTGGCCTGCTTCTGTGCCTCTGCCGCGGCCTCGGCTTGCTTCCGCTTCTCCGCTAACTTGCGCTCTTCTTCTTCCGACCGTTTCCACTCGAAGTTGCCGCGCACCATTGAGGAGGGCAAGTCGATCTCCTCGTCCTCGAAGTCCGAACCGTTCTCCTGCTTGGCCACCGACACAGGCACAATCTCCACGTCCACCACGTCGTCTTCCCACGCCTCCTTCTTAGCCGACACAGCAGGTGCCGCAGCGTCGCTGGCCGGCGCGGCCACCACCGCCACGGCTGCCGTCTCCTCTACCTCCGGCTTCTTAGCGCCTGTCTTCTTCTTATTCTTCAGAAACGCCGCCAGCTTAGACATAAAGCTTTTATCTCGCCAAAAATACCCCCCGTCCGAACTAACTCCATCCGGACCCAAATCACCTTCTCTCGGGCCGATATCTTCCCAGTTACCAAACCCGCCTGGCTGTCGTTAACTGGGTGTTTGCGTCTGGCTACCCAGCCGGTTCAGCGCACACAGGCCGCCCTGGAGGACAAGTTTATTTTGAAGTCGTGGTGTTTTTTTTAGTGTGATGATTGCCGAGCCCGCGACTTGTTCTCCTATGCAGGCCATGCGTCGTGCCTGGAAGCCGGTATTGCCTGAAGCCCTAAGGGCACCGGTGGTGGCGGAGACGGACGAGTCGGTGAGTCCAGTGGTGAAGGACGCTGCAGTCTTAGCCGAGAAGTTCCCGAATACGTGGGGCCAGAAGTTTGTCAAGTTGGTGAATGCACCGAACAAAAAGACGTTTGCGGGCCACGAGCCGCTTCGTGTTGGCGTCGTGTTGTCTGGTGGCCAGGCTGCTGGCGGTCATAATGTGATAGCGGGCATTTTTGACTACGTGAAGCAATGCCATGCGGGTTCGAAGTTAATTGGGTTCAAGAACGGGCCGCACGGTATCTTCACACACAACTACGTGGAGATCACGCCAGAGTACATGGATCAGTACAGAAACATGGGGGGTTTCGACATGATTTGCTCGGGCCGCCACAAGATCGAGACGGAGGAACAGAAGAAAGCGTCGATGGAAATCTGCGTCAACCTCGACCTCCACGGGATTGTCATAATCGGAGGTGACGACTCCAACACGAACGGAGCAATCCTGGCCGAGTATTTCAAGGCCAATGGCTGCAAGACACTCGTGGCTGGAGCGCCAAAGACGATCGACGGCGACTTAAAGAATGAGTACATCGAGATTTCCTTCGGCTTTGACACGGCGGTGAAAGTGTACAGCGAGTTGGTGGGCAACCTCTGTAAGGATGCGGCGACTAACAAGGACCGCTACCACTTCGTGCGGCTGATGGGGCGGTCGGCCACGAACATTGGCCTGGAGGTGGCGATCCAGACGCGTGCTAACTTGCTATTTGTGGGCGAGGAGGTCCAGGCGGAGAAACGCTCCCTGATGTCCATTTGCGCGGAGGTCGCGGACATGGTGGAGGCACGGCACAAGCTGGGCAAGGACTACGGTGTGGTGCTATTGCCGGAGGGCCTGATTGAGTTCATTCCAGAAGTGGGAGCCCTCATTTCAGAAATCAACGATATTTTGGGCGACGGCTCTTCGGTCTTCGACAAGACCAAGCTATGTCCCCATTCCCTCGCGGTTTTCGAGGAACTGCCTGAGGCCATCCGCGGTGAGTTGCTTCTCGAGCGCGACTCCCACGGTAACGTACAAGTCGCCAAAATCGCCACCGAGCGACTCCTCATCCTCATGACCACAGCCGAACTCAAGCGCCGCGGCTTCCCCGAGCAGTGCTTCTTCCCCCACGATCACTACTTCGGCTATGAAGGTCGGTGCGCCATGCCTTCCAACTTCGACAGCAACTACTGCTACGCCCTCGGCCACACGGCCGGCGCCCTCATCGACAACGGAGTAACCGGCTACATGGCCGTTGTCCGAGGCCTTCACAAGCCCTGCAGCGAGTGGGTGCCTGCCGGTTGTCCCGTAACCATCATGATGAACGTCGAACGCCGCAAGGGCTACGACGTACCCGTCATCAGGAAATACCTCGTCGAACTTGACTCACCCTTCTACCAAGCCTACAAACTGGCCCGGGACGCCTGGAAGACACAGGATTGCTACAACTATCCCCGCGCCATCCAGTTCGAAGGACCACTCGCAGACGTAACCAACTTCATGATTGAGGTGCCCGCCGCGGACTACCTCGCCGGAAGGACTGGCCTCCGCGGCGCCGACGAAGTTCACGTCGACACCGACTTCGTTATGAAGGCCCTCGGGCAGCCTGAAGCACACCTGGGTGCAAGCGGTGACGGGTTCGCCGTTACCGGAGGCGCAGCCGCCGACGAGGCTGCGAAGGTGGGTGTGGTTTTGGTGGGTTCCCCAGCGCCAGGTGTGGCGGACGTTTTGTGTGGCGTGACGGCGCGGTTGGGCGACTGCGTGGTGTTCGAGGGGCTGGAGGAGTTGTTGCAGGGCCAAGGTAAGACGGTGGATGCGGTGGCGGCGCAGAAGCACGCCCACGAGGGCGGTTTCGCGGTGGCTGGTACGAGTCGGCGGACGCAGCTTCCGGGGAACGAGAAGGCGGTGGCGGAGGTGGTGAAGAAAATGGGATTGTCGGCGTTGGTGGTGTTGGGTGACTCGACGGTGGGTCAGGCGGTGGGGGCGTTGTGCGCTGTGGTGTCGAACGTTGTGTTCGTGCCGGTTTCTGGCGCGGGTAACGTGGCAGGTGTGCGAGGGCCGGTGGGGTTCGATACGACGGCGAAGACGTACGCGTCGTTGGTGGGTAACTTGTTGACGGACGCAGCTTCGGCTTCCAAGTACTGGTACTTCGTGAAGGTGAGGGGTGGTTCGCGTTTGGCTTTGGAGGTGGCGGCGCAGACGAACGTAAATGGAGTGTTATGCGCGGAGAAGCACACGAGTTTGTCGAGTGCGGTAAAGTACCTGGCGGACCTGGTAGAGAGGCGTGCAGAGGGCGGGAAGAACTTCGGTTGCGTGTTGCTGCCAGAATCGTGTCTCTGCCGAATTCCGGAACTAGCGGAAATGAAGAAGACAAAGATTGTTCCGGCGGAACTTGCTCCCGCAGCCGTTGTGGAGAGCTTCCGTGCCGCCCTTAACAAGACCACTCCCTCGGGTGCCGTGGACAACAGCGAACTGCCGCTGGACCAGCTGCTGGCCGCTTTGGTCGCGCAGGAACTCAAGGGCCGCGCCTTCAAGGGGAAATACGCACCTGTCTGCTACTACATGGGCCTCCAGGCGCGCGCTGCTTGGCCTAGCCCCACGGACTGCAGCCTCGGCCTCGCACACGGCTGCCTCGCCGCCATGGCTGCACAGTCCAAGGTCTATGGCGTCATGACTACCGTCGCCACCGCCGCCAGTTCTGAAAACTGGAAGTTCGGCGCACGGAAAATTGGCTCACAACTCGAAGCCTGCGCTACCACCGACTTTGATGAGTACGAAACCTACCTCGCTCACCAACAGACACTCGCCAAAAACGACTTCTACTGCAATCCCGGCCCTGTGCAGTTCTCAGGCGAATTCAGCAGACTCAGCCTCCCTGGCACCCAGTAGACCTGACAACCAGTTTTTTCACATGCGTAGTCTCAACAGGTAGCTCAAACCTTTACTTTCAGCCCACAGGGAAGCGGCCCGGCGCGGCTGCGGCGAGACCGTCAGAAGCTGCACCATTTGGGAGTTCAATCAGCTGTTTAAGTGCGTTGGGTAGTTGAGCGATTAATTGCTTGAAGAGGAGAATGTTGTGCGCGCGAAGGACACCTGAGTGAGCTATGGTTGGTAGCCGGACTAGCAGGGAACGTGTGACTTGACCACGGTTATGATGAGTTCGAGATTACGGCACGCCGCTGGTTTGGGGTTGGTTGAAGTACTAAGAGACGGCACAAGCGAGGCCCACGGTTGTCACGGGTACGTCGGAATGGTGTGCGGTTACATGGCCCGAGTGGAACGGCTTGATAGCTGTGGCAAGTTTCGTATGACGTCGTTGGAAGTGTCGGTGGACGTATGCAAGAGGTACCCACTAGCAGACGAGAGACCGTACTGTAGTGAGTGCTGAATGTGTTTAGGCGCGTTGGGTAGTTGACCGATCACCGTTGGTTGAGGCCCGGAGGCGAAGGTCTACAATTGCCAGGAGTTAGTGACCGGGGGCGGCAGTGCGCTCGGGCGACGTGGCCGTTGGGTGTGATACTGTGACCGGGGGTAGAACACATTTCCCGCCGAGGAAGAGAATCACTGTGCTGGAGTGGAGTGCGGACCCAGGTTGTGCGGGTCCTGAGGGAGAGCGGCACGGGTGAAGAGGAGCCGATAGGCAAAAGGACAGAAGCGAAAGGACCGATGGCCTCAAGTCATCGCTGTGTAGAGACCCAAGAGGATGACAGCTGTTGGATATCCGCTGTGCAGAGACGAGGATGACAGCTGTTGGATATCCGCTGTGCAGAGACGCGAATGGAAGAGAAACCGTGGCGGACGGTGTCGCGAGGAGTGGCAGGATGGAGCCCCTCGTAGTTGATGCTGTTGGCTGTCCGACCGGATGTGTGGAGATGGTGTGCGGTGGATATCCGCTGTGCAGAGACGTGAATGGAAGAGAAACCGTGGCGGACGGTGTCGCGAGGAGTGGCAGGATGGAGCCCCTCGTAGTTGATGCTGTTGGCTGTCCGACCGGATGTGTGGAGATGGTGTGCGGTGGATAAGGAATGTGTGCATGCCAGTAGTTTGTGCGAGAGCAGTGCGCATCCTGAACTGGTGCGTGAGGAAGACAGCAGAGTAGGGGACGTGCACGGGCAGTGAGGCAGTTGGAAGAACGCGTATTTTTGTTATCCCATTGTATTGTGTACTGTTACTGCCAAAAAGAGTGATTTATCTGTTTATCCCCCTAAAAATTCTGTCCTCCTATCTTCTGAATAAAGTTGT